AGATGTTTCATGCCAAATATCTAAGCTCTAGCTCTTATGGTTTTTTAAAAGAAGATATTTAAAGTTTTTTCTTTCGGTTGCCATGGCAACCAGAGTTTTGCATGGAATTAAATTCTTTGAACAATTTTTAAAGGTGACCACCAAAGGAACATTCCTGTGAAGTTTGGATGAAATTGGCTTAGTGGTTTATGAGGAGATGTCATTTAAAGTAAAAGTTTACGGACGGACGGACGGACGACGGACGGACGACGGACGGACGCCGGACAAAAAGCGATCACAAAAGCTCACCCTGTCACTTTGTGACAGGTGAGCTAAAAAAGTAATATGAAAAGGAATATAAATATGTTGTCAATGCATGTATCAGCAGACATGGTTACAGTTAACGAGGAGAAGAGTATTTTCAGTTTTTAAACAATTTTTTCCAGTGTCTGTGGACAATAAGTTGATATCTTAATAATGTTAAATGGTATATAAAACATAAAGAAAGTGTTATTTTTGTACAAAATGTATGCAAAAAATACCATTTTTGTTTGGGCTAGTTAAAATGTGTTCGGGCTAGTGAAATTTGTAAGCTGCTAGCCCGACTGGGCTAGTGCTGATAAAAAGTTAAGGCGAAGACTGGAATGCTTCAGACAAAGTTTGGTGATCATCCATGAATTAGTTCTGTAGGAGAAGATGTTTAAAGGTTTTTCTATTTTTAGCTCTGCTGACCCCTAAAAGGGGCCATTCAAAATAATATTAGCAAACTTGATAAAAGACTACCCAAGAATGCTACAGACAAAGTTTGGTGATCATCCATCAATTAGTTCTCTAGAAATAGACATTTTACAGTATTTCTATTTTTAGCTTTAGTGGCCCCTAAAACAAGCCAATCAAATTAATATGAGCAAATTTGATAAAACACAACCCGAGAATGCTACCGACAAAATTTGGTGATCATCCATCAATTAATTCTGTAGGAGAAGATGTTTAAAGGTATTTCTATTTTTAGCCCAAGAGACCCCTTAAAGGGGCCAATCAAAATAATATTAGCAAATTTGATAAAAGACTACCTAAGAATGCTACAGACAAAGTTTGGTGATCATTCATCAATTAGTTCAGTAGAAATAGACATTTAAAGGTTTTTCTATTTTTAGCTTTAGCGGCCCCCTTAAAGGTACCAATCAAATTCATATGAGCAGACTTGATAAAAGAGTACCCAAAAAATGCTACAGACAAAGTTTGGTGATCATCCATCCATTAGAGGTGTAACGATTCATCGATGCATCGATGCATCGTGATCTGTCTTGTCCCCGATGTATGCATCGTAATGAAATTACAAATTCCAATATATTGCGATGCAATACATATTTCACCTCCCGATGTATCGATACAGCGGGAAGGTATCGCAATACACTAACAATATCTTCCAGGAATATAAGGACATACGTTTTTTTTGAAAGACTGAAGAAAGAAAAATAGCTCGGATGTAAACAACAAACAAGCGCGACTATTATCATACCATCGTTGTCATCTCGTTTCCCCATGTTCGCAATCATTTAACGGTTACTAACAAAGTTTTATCAATTCCATGTAAATGGGCTGGTGTTCTTTGAACTTGTTTATAATAAAAACATAATTAGAGATCTGTGCGATTTCAAGAAAAAACAACCTACAAACATGAATTTTATTTTGTAGCACTTAAATGTCGGATTAAAATAGTGATGATGACAACATCCCCATGTGATATTCGTCACGTATTTATACTTTCATTTCCGTTGACATCATTTTCCCGTAAAAAAACAACAAAGCAAACAAACAGAAAACATGAAGACTGCAAAATATGTAGACGGGGAAATTACAGTCAATCCTCCCTGGTCATTAAAGTCACGCGTTTTGGGAAAATTGTAGTTTTTGGGGAACCATGAGACAGTGTTGTATATTGTGGAAGACTGGACGTGGAGTGTTTGCAAAATCAAAATAAAATACTCTGGGGTTGAGCACAAATCTTTTGAGAAAACTGAGACTGAAACTTATAAACTGTCATTTTCACAGTTGTAGAGCTAATTGTAGACACTTGTTACTTTTTTTTTTCACAAGAAAAATCTTAAGTAGTGTATTGTAAGACTGAAATTGTTAAACTGCCATATTTACAGTAGTGGACTTTAGTGTTAGAATAGCTAGTACATGTAGATATCAATTTGCTGTTATGGTTTAATTAAAAATACCTCTAATCCTCAAGTAATCAGAAAAGTAAATTGTTAAAAGATCAAAATCGGAAACCAAGTTATAACAACAAGTTAAGAGTTTATTTTTTTTGTTATTGTAATAGTTTTATATTATATTCGTAATTATGCTGTAAACAAATGGCAATTTTTTATATACTAAGTCTAAAAGTCAGTATCGTGATACGTATCGCATCGCAACATAAGAATCGCAATATGCATTGCATTTCTTCAAAGTATGCAATACATATCGTGAATCGCATCGTTTTGAAAAACAAATATCGTAATATGTATCGTGACAGAAAAAAATGGCAATGCACAGCCCTACCATCCATTAGGCCTGTAGAAGAAGATGTTTAAAGGTTTTTCTATTTTTAGCCCTAGAGACCCCTAAAAGGCGCCAATCAAAATAATATGAGCAAACTTGATAAAAGACTATCCAAGAATGCTACAGACAAAGTTTGGTGATCATCCATCAATTAGTTCTGTAGAAGAAGATGTTTAAAGGTTTTTCTATTTTTAGCTCTGCTGACCCCTAAAAGGGGCCAATCGGAATGACATGAGCAAATTCAAGTGTGACTGTCACAAGGATGCTACAGACCAAATGTGAAGTAAATCTTCTAAGTAGTTTCAGAGAAGAAGACGATTGTTGACGCATGACGATGGACGACGGACGCCGGAGCATCCCCCTTTGATACTAATAGCTCACCCTGAGCCTTCGGCTCTGGTGAGCTAAAAAGTTCAAAAAGTGTCCGGTCGGTGGTCCCTCACCAGTACAGACCAAATTTGAGGTAAATCTGCCCAGCAGTTTCAGAGAAGATGATTGTTGACACATGACGCCGGAGTATCCCCCTCTGATACTAATATACGGTGCTGGTGAGCTAATAATTATAATTGTAAAGACATTAACAGAGAACATTTTGACATCCAACATAGATTTACTACAATAAATGTGCATTTTATTTTGAATATGAACTTAGTTTATTTTATTTTTTATTAAAGTATGGAGGAATAGTTTTCAAGGAATTATAAAGTAGATTATATAAGCATACAGTTGACTTTTAATAGACAACAAAAACGTCTATTTGATGCTCTTAATTGAATTTTAATTGAACATCTATAGGTTAACATGTTGCGCTTAATACAAAACGAAGCCTTCACTGCAATGGAACTTGCAAGGTCGGCAACTGTTGCAGATTGAGGATGGGAAAATTTAACACAAGAATTGTCTGTTATTAATTTTGTTTTGGGGGAAAATATTGCACATTTACTTTATTATAAGAGCCTTATATGAATATTTATCTCCGCCTTATGTGTTTTATCTGTTTAGAACGCATTATAAGGATAGTACTTTTTAATAGTAAAAAAAAGTGTCGGTGAAAACTTGACTGCTTTTTGGATAGTCAAAACAATCGCACAAGCTGTCATTCATGCCTGGAAATGACGCCACGAAAGTATGAGAACACAGAAAGCATGGGAACAAGTTCAACAAGTCATGTAAAAGGTTGTTTGCAGTATAACCGGTTTAATACCCTCACCTATATTTCCAAATTAAATGATAAAGAGTCAACTCGGCCCTATACCAACTCGGCAAAGGTCAACTCGGCCCTAAAAACCATTAAACATATTAACATTTTTTACTTGCATGTTGTCAAGGCAAAAAAATGTTATCAATGATAAAATAAGAGATATATCTGGTTTATTATTATATAATTGTACATTGAAGTCTTCCGCAGAATTAAAGTATATTTAGAAGAAATTTGTTATTTTTTTTTCTTGCAGATTCGTAAAAATTGATATAATACAAATGTGTTTTCTTTGATGCTTTTTGTTTGTTAAGTAATCTTCAATAAAATATGACATAAAAAACGTGTTTATTTATTATCATAAGCTTTTAATTAGTTGCAGGTGGTCATTTATCAAGTTTGAATGATTGCGTCAAACATAATTATCTCCTGATAAATCGGTAACCTTCCCGAAACATACATGTGGTAATAAGAGCGGGTGATAATAATTTAAGAAAACATCTTTCCACATTTGTGAATAAGTCCATATATTAATTATTCCGACCATATTGAAAGATAAAACGAACCAATTAATATATAAGATTGAAAAGTGGGCAGAGTTGACCCGTGCCGAGTTGGAAAAGGGCCGAGCTGACTCGAGGGCCCCCGAGTACGTTTTAGGGCCGGGCTGATCCCGATTCTTTCCAAATAGCTGAATATATAGGGTTACAGTATATAACCCAGGGTTTCCATTGACGCACATTTCCTGCGTCCTTGACGCTAAAATATAAACTAAGGACCCGCAATAACTTATTGCCTGCGTCCTCAGGGACGCAAATCCGTAAATCCTGTTTTGAAAGATCTTTCCGTTTTTAAAAGGAAATTGCGTAAATTTGTAGACGGGTTTTATATTGTATACAACAGAGTTATCTTTCTTTCAATAAAAAAACTGTTCAATGCGGAATAAAACGGCGCACGATTGAATTTAGAACTACATTCGAAATGTGTAGCAGTCTACCTCGTTGCTAGGCATTTTATAAAGATGTCGGCTGCGGCAAAAAAATCCCGAAGTTTTAATGAAAAAAGCTAGACAATATCTATAACTAATACCTATCTTTTAAACTTATTCATGATTGGGACCCTCTTAATATTCCATGGGACCCTCATATTTTAGGAACATGAGTCCCTGGGACCCCTAGATAAAAAATCCTAGCAGAAACCCTGTAACCTGTCAAAATCTTATAGATACCTTAAATTAATATATAGAAACATAATGAATGATGCCACATACCTTCTATTTCAAGAAGTAATGAAAGAAGTTTTTCAAGTGCCAGTTTTTCAATGTGCTTGTTTGGAATATATGATTGGTCACTTAAGTATTTCTTTAAAATATTTCCTCCATTTTGAAATATTTCAATAAATGGATAAATCTCTTTGTTTGAAATGCTTCTCTTAGTTGTCTCATCGACATCGTCATCCTTGTCGTAACTCTTCTTCGTCTCGCACTTTGCCCTGGAAAAACTCGTACAGAGATGAGCGTCACTACTTATTATTTTAAGTAAACAAAAGCAAAAACGAGGACTTGATTCAAGTGCTTCTAATGCAGACCTTAATCCATCTATTTTCTCCAAACCAATGTCTGGTAGTTTGGCTAATTTTATTTTTTTTTTCAAAGGGATTGAGGAATCACCCTCCGCCATTTTCCTTTCATTACTAACTCGACGTTCTCCGCAAAACGGTGGTGGATTCGGTACGCCCGGGATCCGGGATCGTATTGAAAACTGATAAACTATAGGCCTATTTGTGTTGATTATTGTCGTAATGAAAGGCGATTAAACGTTAACTTTTTAATTTCTATTGTTTGTTATGAACGGTAAATTAATTGGTAGACAGACGTTTCACTATTGAGACGGTTCACACCAAAACGTTTCACTCCCAAATTCACTCCCTTTTTATACCAAATTTTTTCTAAGACTTATATGATATACTAAAAATAAATAGACCTTGAATTTAATAAAAATTAATTACAGAAGGGAATTTCACTTTTTGGTTATGACTATTTACTCAGTTATCATAATTGTTTTCGCTGTTTCTGTATTTATTATCGTACATATGGAACAGGTAAGAATGCATTATTTTTGTTATCATAAATACTTTTTAAACAGTAAATATATTACATTTTATCGACAAAATTCTGAAATTTTCGACGCTGTATTATGTACGTATATGTAGAAGGATTTTAAACCTTTGTCAAGCAGTACCTATATAGATAAATAATTTAACTTAATGGCCATTGCAATCAGAAATGCCTTTAAATAAAATTACAATAAAAGCATTGGGACTTTTTCAATGTTTGTGATGTAAAATCATTATTTTGTGACTAAAATTCAATATGAAAGAAAAATTGTCTTTCATAAAGTGCGACATCTTAAATCATAATAAAACTAACATAAGAATAATTATATTAAATATCAGAGAAGTTGCATGAAAACATATTAAAATTTACATACATTGTGATTCATGTTCTTCTTCTTTATTTTTATTTATTTATTCATTCATTTCTTTTCTTTTTTTTTTGAGGGGGGGGGGGATATATGTTGGACTGGATATGATTGTATTATCTTATAGTTCTTTACAGCTGTTAATGATAAGAATTTATAGGTGATTTTCTTTGCATTAAGTATGATTCAGTATGTAAACATTCTGCAAATTTTCTAAAATAAAAATAATTTATTTATATATCGGATTAAACATTATATTTTAATTTGTTATATCACGGATTTATATTCCATATAAACAAAACTTATAATGGAGAAGTTTCTGTTTCCACGACTTTTGTTTTAATTGGATGTTATCTAAAAACTATTTTAATGGTCCAATAAACAACTGATTAGTAAACTGTTTATGCTAAAGTGCAGTGTTTATACAAATGATTTAATGGTGATGTCAAACTGTTAGTTGTTGGTCTCAGTGTTTATACAACTAATTAGGTGATGAGATTACTGTTAATACCACAATTACCTACGTTTGTTTAATGGCTACTTTTTAATAAATTGATAAAGAAATAATTCAAAAGAATAATTAATTTTATACACATCTTTTTAAGACTTACATGAAATAACAAATATTTTAATTTTATATTATTAATTATTTATATATAATGGATATCTTTTATTATTTTAGCAATTATTTTTTTGTTAATTGATATCAAGTTATTGACATTATTTCCATGTGACTTATTTTTTATGAAAGTACTAATGAAAATATTATTCTCAAGGATGAGCATGGTATATCAAAGAAAATAAAAGTTCTGTTCAGTATAGTTTATATTATAGTTTATATAAGTATGAATTCTTTTTTAACAATTGTGTGTTTTCTTTTAAATAACCAACCATATATCTTATATCATCACCTATTAAACCATTTATCAATGCAACAAAAATAAAAACAAATGTATATTACAAACTTTAATTGCTTATCTACAACAGAAAAACATACATCAAAATAAATAATCAATCTTGATATGGCTATTAAAAATGGAAATAAATTTGTTAACTTTCCTAAAAAATATCTTTAAAAATGGGAGTGAAACGTCCATACAATTGACAAATTGGGAGTGAAATGTCCAGGCGTGAACCGTCCTGGGAGTGAAACGTCTCAATAGTGAAATGTCTTGGGAGTGAAACGTCTGACATTCAAATTAAATTAATTTAACATATTTACTGCAGTACAGTATCTAGAGCTATTTATTAACAAACTTAAAATGCGGAAATTATTTATCGCATTAGATTCTACTGGACTTATAATTATATGCCTTATTGGAAAAAATAAAGATTTTGTTAATACAACATTTGGCTAAATTTTATATTCACGTATTTAAAAAGTATTTTAAGAAAAGATTATAAGATATACGTAATTGATAACAAATCAAAGTACCGAGAGGACTGATGGGGGGGGGGGCAGTGCTTTGAAGGATAGTACGTACAGGTTTTAAGTGTGGCTTGATACATTATTTTTTCCTTCGACTTAAACTAGTGAGCTAGATCTTTACATCACATGATCAAGATTCTAACCTGACTAAAAGATCATCAATTTAGTTTCATAAATATATATCACTTATAAATGTGGCCTCTGTGCTGTTTACATGATTTAGCTTGTTTTAATTGCTAAGATATTGATCCCAGCTTTTCTTGATGTTTTTTATCTCATGTTCTATCTGGGTAAAACTGAACATGACCAAATAAAAACTGTTTTAAAACTTTTGAATAAGACATTGAATAAACTTACTGGATACAGATAACTTGCAGCGTGTGTAGGAACAGTCTTTTGCAATGACTAAAACAAACAAATAGCATGCTGTACAGTAAAAATAATTTTATTACAGGGTGATCTGTGAAGAGTAACATTTCTATTTAAAATGATAGCTCCAGAGCCTTTGTTGATATTAATGCGGAAAAAATTAACACAACGGACGTTTCAGGAAGTTTAAACAACGAAATTTTTAATTTCAGTTTTAAAGTAACATAGCCTTTTCTTCCTGAAATAACTTATTTCCAACAATGAATTTAACAATCAGCTGAAAAGAACCGCTTTCAAGGCATTATTTTTTACAGTCATATACTATATATATATATATATATATATATATATATATTTTTTTTTTTTTTTCAATTCAATTCAATATTTTATTTGGCATTAAACTACATATAGCATATAGCCATTATTACATAATATGGTTAAGTGTAAGACACTTTTACAAAAAATTGTTCATAATACAGTACAAAATGTGTTCAGAGAAGTTTTTTACAATATATCTTCATGAGATTTAGCAATTTAAAATATGAGATATATACTTAAAATGCTTAATAAATTGTTATTGTTGTCTATATATATGTATACAAATACAATCATACAATATGTTTTAAGATATGTTATTTACGGTATGTCTTTATGTAGATCTAACAATATACAAGTTAATCAGAGTTTCTTACAATCTTGACAAATTATTAAGCTCTTTTTCATGTTTAGATGACATTAAAGTTTCCATTTTTGAAGTGTGACCAACGGCAAAAATATGGTTTTAAATTATAATATTTTGGACAAACGAGTAAAAAATGGAATTCAATTTCGATGACATGCATATTGCATTGTTGACATAGTCTATTTTCTCTTGGAACTCCGTTGTGCCTACCAATTTCAATTACTAGATTATGTGATGATAACCGAAATTGCGTCAGTTGTACTCTGTATTTATTTATATTTACACAATTTAAGTATACAAATGCGTTATTTTTAGGTTTATTTATTCCTACGCCTAAGTAGATATATTATTCATATTTACAATACATTTTAGTTTTCTTCAGATACTGCTGTGAATATAATACGTTGTTCAATCATATTTGGATCAAAACTGTAATCAAATACGTCCATATTGAAGTTTTTGGTAAATATTTAGGAACTTGTTTTTTTCTGAGTTTTCAGTTTGGTCCTAAGAACGACATAGATTTTGAAAGACGGTCTGTTAAATCTGGAGGCACTGCCCCAAAGAAACCTTTTGACGTGTATGACAGGTGGTCAATTCCCGGGATTGCTGTATTGTTTAATAGATCCCGGCTTTTCTGAATGCAAGATGGTAATGGTCAATTTCCCGGGATATGTATACCTTATACGATCCCGGATGTTCTTAATGCGATTTCCCTGGATATCTTATATCTAAGTAGGAAATTCAACGTTTTTTCCCGACCGTCATGGTTGAGTATTTATACATTATTGTAAATACAAGTTCAACTTGCCGTGCTTATTTTAAGTAAGAAATTTCTGAAAACTATATTCTTGAACTGGCCAATTCCCGGGATCTCTATATGTTTTAATACGATCCCGGCTTTTCTGAACACTATATTCTTGAACTGGCCAATTCCCGGGACCCCTATATGTTTTAATACGATCCCGGCTTTTCAGAAAAATATCTTCTTGAACTTGTCAATTCCCGGGACCCCTATATGTTTTATTTTCTGGCTCCGATTCCTATAATCTTTCCGAATAACACTGAAAATAGTAATCCACGTTACATAACTTGATGAACATTTAGATGGGCATCAATCATGCTAAATGAAAAATATCAACACCTTAATTCGATTTAATATTTATTGCATTAAACATTTATTATGCTAAAAATTGATATTTGAAAATACTTATAATTTCTCTTTCTAAATGTAGAATAAACATATTTTAGTACGCATATGTAAGATGTATTATCTTTACACATGATATCAGTAAACAAAGTAAGAAACACTTTCATAAAAAGGCAATTTTAAAAGAAAAGACCAAAATGAAAGGTACAATGAAATATATTGTGATATTTTCAACTTAATATTTTTCATATTCTGCTTATTGTAAAGAAAAGATTTTTCTTCATTTAACCTATAAAAAGGTTTTCAATTTTTCAGGGACCTTTATATAGAGGTTTTGATGCTAAAGCATCAAGTCGCCGGATAGAAATATGATTGTATTATCATAAACATTAGAAAATATCAGTTTAATGGTTCGAGTATAAAGAAAAAAGGAACAATGTGTTGAGTAATGTTTATTCATAATAAAACATCATATTTGAAGCAAACTTGCTTAGAAATATTGTCAAGAAACTGTTATCATTATTATTAATTAAGCAACTATTGTTTGGCAATATTGACCTGAGTCTTATTAATTTGC